GAGAAAAGGCGGCTCCGGGGAGATCTAGTTGTGGCCTCACAGGAAAGCTGGAGAGGGACTGTTTACAAGGGCATGGAGTGATAGGACAAGGGGTAATGGCCTTAAGCTGAAGGAGGGTCGATTTAGATATTAGGAAGAAATTCTTTACTGTGAGGGTGGTGAGGCACTGGAACAGGTTACCCAGGGAGGTTGTGGAGGGCCCATCACTGGCCGGGGGCCAGGTTGGATGAGGCTTTGGGCAGCCTGTTCTAGTGGAGGGTGTCCCTGCCCATGGCAGGGGTGTTGGAACTAGATGATCTTTAAGGTCCCTTCTTGGCCATTCTATGATTTAAAGATACAACATTCTAGTTGCTCCCTTAGGTATATATGTATATAAAGTACTGCAAATATTTGTTGGTATTACCTCCTCAAACGTTTCCTGTGTATGTGTGCTTTCCTGGAAGAATATTAATGAAATTTGGGGGAAAAGACACATTTGTAATTTGCTTGCCTTTTTTTTTTTTTTTTTTAAATGTGAATTGTGGTTAAGCCACAAATGTTTTTCTTACAAATAGGAGGCTCTTTTATTATGCCCAGGATTTTAAACTTTAAATAAGTGTTTATCTTTTATGTGGGACTTTATTTAGATTCAGGTTAAAGTAAACCTTTCTCATTTAACACCACCACCCTGCCCCTCCCTCCATTTTTTTACTTGTTTTATTACATTTAAAATATTGTCAACTTTAAATTATGTTTCTAGTAAATTTAGCTACCTTTTTCACTGTTTAGTAAAAACAGATTTGGAAAGTTTCTTCTGTGTTGTGTTTGTTATCTTGTTTTTTGAAAGACTGGATACTTGAATGAATGTGTTACTTAAATTTACTGAGATCTGTTCTTTAAAAATGTTTACATTGAAATGTGTTTTGTTTAGCATGTCCTTCCTTTCTGAAAATGTTACTAAGATTTATCTTTGGGGTTATTAATGCCATTAATGTAACAGAGTACCTGTCTAATGGTGACATTCTTGTTACATGTTCTTCTGTGACTTCAGTGTTAAAGCATTGTCATCTCCTCTTCTCTGCCCTTCATCCAGTACATGTAGCTCTGTTATGAAAATTGCAGCTTCTTTTCCTTTTGTAATGTTTAATTCTTGAACCTTTTCTTCATGAGTATTTAAAAGCTATTTTTAACACTGAAGAGTTGCTCTCTTGTCTCTGGAGTGATTCTGGTGGAGTTTCTATGTATGGTGTCTGTTTCCCTTTTTTTAAAAATACTAGGTTGCTTAACCACTGGTATGTTTTATCTGTTCAGCCCTTGAAAGACTCTAAAGAGTATTGAAAGCAATGCTGTGTTTGTAGTACTTCTTGTTCTTGTTCCTTTGTTCGGTTGGGAAATGTAGTCTAAGAAATCACATTAGTTTTGTAGTCTTAAAAAAAAAAAAAAGAAAAAAAAGTGTGAGGTTCCAAAACACAAAGGAAATACTCCAAAAGATATTTTGAGGTCTAAGTTCTTCTAAGTAACCACAGAAAATAAAACAGTCTCCACAGTATGAAGAAATCTTTTCCCATCTTGCTGAAAATACAGTTTGTACTATTCACAAAATTGAGTTTGTCTGTTGTTTATGTGATTGTTTTATACAGAATGTAGCAGTGCTTCTCAGCCTCCATGTTTTAATTTTTTTTAGGAAGAACAGAACCGAGGCAAGCCCAACTGGGAACACCTGAATGAAGATTTACATGTACTTATCACTGTGGAGGATGCTCAGAACAGAGCAGAAATTAAACTGAAGAGGGCTGTTGAAGAAGTAAAAAAGTTACTGATACCTGCAGTAAGTATTTGTATGCAATTCTTTGATTTCCATTTCAAGAAGTTACTTCTTAAATACAATTAATACTGCAGCAGTAAGAGTAAGCCTGCAGAGCAGCATCCTAAAATGAAGTTTAGATATTATTTTGTAATACTCGAGTGATCTTTAAAATATCTCATCCCAGATCAAATTATTCCTCAGAACAAAATAATATTCTTAAGAGATGGTTGGGGTTTTTTTTGCCTGTATTAGATACAAATGCAGGAAATTCTTAGCGCCTTTAAAAAGCAATGTTCAACTGTTAAAAACACTACCTTTCTCACCTTTTTTCAATATAAGGATGCTTCACTTTAAAGCTGGGGAAATATGACATGCTTTTATGTTTTGCTTTGAGATGATTCTGATACTTAAGAAGGCATGTTTTCTTGGATCATCGCATTAAACACCTTCCTAAAAGAACAAAACCCTTCAGAAACACATTATCAGAAAACTTTGCTGTCAATATACTGGGGAAAAATAAACATAGTGAAACTGGAAAATGGGATGTTTTTCTCATTTCCTCATAATATAAACTGCCTTCTGCCCAGCCAGATGACTTAAAGCCTTTTGCAGAGACCAGAATTACCCTGTGAGAGCCCTCCTCTTTGATCTGCTCTGTATTCTCACTCAAAGCAAGGTGACTCAGCCTGGCTGTATAGTGCATCCCATGTCATTAACTTCTATCTCATGCTGATTTTTACCACCACTTTTGTGCCATTATAAAATGATAAAAATAAATAATATCTTTTTCAGTGGAGGAAAAAATTTCCATATTATGAGGAAAAATTGAGATTATCTTGTGAAGGAAGGTAGTAGGTGGTGTTAAAATGGCCTAGTGATTTTGGGTGCTTAGTGAATGCTAACAGATGCTGACTGTGAGGAAACTTGTGGTGACACGTGCCGTATAAGCACATTTATTCAGAACACATTTATAAAAGTTACTAAAGACCAGGAGGGAGACAAAATTTTTGAATTAACAAAATATGGTAAAATATTAAGCATGAGACATGAAGAAAACGTAATTTAGACCTCTTCACATTGCTCATTGTCAGTTTCTAAAAGCAGAAGACAACTCGAGAAAGTACATCTTCAGAATTTATTCGTTTACTAAAGAGGTCTTGAGCACATTACAATTGAGTTTATAATCAGGATTAGAAATGGATAAGAAAAAGACTTTATATGGGCAAAACCTGAAGCCCTTACGTTCATTCTGTAGCAGCTATGCAGCAAATAGTTTGAAAGACACACAACTCAAACTTCTGTGTGATACAGAATTAATTTTGTCAAACATCCCTTGATTCTTCTAGCTCCCTCTTATTGACTGAAGGGTCATGTTCAAGATGACCTGATAGGTCACAAAACCTCAGTATGTCTGAAGTACTAATGTGTTTCCTCAGTATATGTTTGTGTTATGCTTGGTTTCTGGAGCTGGTGGATGGGTGTGCTTTGAGCCTCCAAAAAGAAGGAATACATTAGTAGTTTTTCATTGTGATGTTGTCAGCCATCTCTTTGTCTTGAAAATATTCTGCTTCATTTAGTAACTTAATCAGTTGGGGGAGCTCTATAATCCTGATTACAGAATATTTTTTTCCCCTTTAGAAAAAAACAACAGCACAGGGCTAACTGTTGTCCAAATATAGCATCAGTTGCAAAACACTTTGTCAGTTCATTTCATTAACATCTTTATATATATGTGTTGGCATAAGAGATTTGGGTGGTGCTTATTACATGCACAAGAGTTAAAGGTCTGTTGGCTCTCATTTCTGAAAATTATGCCTCGTTGAAACAGGCATGTGTGGTACTAATGAATTAGTATATAGGTGAACTTAGTTTTTGCACTACTTATTGCATCTGTTCAATTAGTACCAAAAATGGCCATTTAATCAAATTATGGTTTCAGGCAGTTGGAGAGTTGAAAAATTCTGGTTGAGGATTTAAAGATATGAATTGAAAACTTCTATGAAGGAAGCCATAAACCTTTAAATAATCAGGGTAAGCATGAGGAAGAAAAAAATCCTAGCTAGTTATAACAAGATGGGGGAAATTGTGGATGTTGGAAGATTCTAAAGATGCTCTAAAATGTATGAATGGAAAATGGGAAATTCCATTTCATATGGCAGAATACATGTAACTATTAACTGTTTTCCAAATAAATGTCAGAGGATTAAAATTGATAAAAAGATATTAATGTATTTCTGTTTTTTCTCCATCCAGCTTGAATAAAATTTAAGGCTATGTAGCAGAGAAGATTCAGTCTCATTCTAGCCATATAGTAGCAATGCTTTGGTTCTCTGAGATACATTTCAGAAAAGCAAGCTAGTGTTAGAGTTGGGAAGGAGTTACTCATTTCTTGGAACAATCAGTTATTTTTACACTCAAGATACTTAAAAGCCTAATTACATTTTATAGCAACAGTGCACAAATAGGCATATTTCTGAAATGGATTTCCATTTGAAGGTACTTGGGTGAACAGAGACTATTTCAGTAGTAAAATGTGTTTGTTTTCATCTTTATGAATCTGGATCACTAGTGATTTCTTTTCTTGTGAATGTGAATTATTAATTTCCCTTTCCACTTGCTCGTGGATTTTTACCAAGATGGTGGTGTAGTCAAACAGTTTATCTTTAGAAATGAAAAGGACTTGGGGCAGACTGGCTGAACGAGCCATTTTTTCTCCTTAAGGAGAAAGGCTAATTTTTTTTTTTAATTATTATTATTGTCTTGTATTTAATTTACATTTCTTTGGTATGAAGAATTTACATTTCTTTGGTATGTTTATTTTGGCTGTACTTCAAGTTCTATAGGACTAATTCTTTTCCTCTTCCCATAGTTTAGTGAGATACTGGTCATTATCTGGACCTGCAAGATCATATGGTACTGCTTCTTTCATGTTTTTCTCAGAAGAAAAACAGGAAGCATAAAGCAGTCTGCAGGCTTTTGGGATCACATTGAGCTGTATAGTCCTTATGCCTCCTTCTAAAGTGAATCCTACAGGTTATTGATCTCTCTTCATTGTGAGAGCTTTGAGAGTTTATTTGTTATTCACAAGAGTTCAGTAAGGATGGGTGGTTCTTTTGCAAAGGAAAAACAAAAGATGCTCTGCAGAATGTAAGAAAAAAATGCAGAGCCTGTGTAAGGGGATGTATATAGTAATTAAGTTTAGCATACTGAGTTACAGTGTCATTACGGGTTTGAAATTACTCTTTGTGGTCCTGGGCAGTAGGGCTGAATTCCTCTGCTAGAAATATGTAAGGCTTCTACATGTTCTAAGTAGTGTTGAATAAACTCTCATAACTGAATGTGCTTTCTTGATATTCCTTTTTTATACAGATGTCCAGGTCTCTCTAATTACCAATTCACCTTTATACTGACTGTCTTTATATAGGATGAGGCACATACAACAATTCAAATTTCAGGCAAATACTTTTTGCCCCTTTTTCCTTTGACTCCACATTCTTCCTTTCTGAGGAAAAAATAATATTTCTGGCTTCTAGTTAACTATTCTAATTTGATCTGGAATCAGTGTTTTTCAAATTCTTCGTATTACTCTTCCTGCATCGAGGTACCTGTGGCTTTACTTAGTTGCTGCCTCCATCTTGTCTGAAGACAGCTGCAACATAACATTAGTCAGTGATGGACCCTGTCAAACTGTATATCATTTGCCACTACAATAATGGAATATTAAGATTGTGATGGGTAGGAAATAATGTTTCAATAGAAGATTGTTTAATTTTGTATGTACATTTGGTTCTTGCCTGTAATAGTGATTCTAGACTTTTCAGTCCTGGATATCTTTAAATTTAGCTGTATGGTATGGAGGAAAGTATAATTTCAACATGAAAAAAATCATTGAGCTTAATTAAAATAAATATTGCAGAAATATTGATTTCATAATGTCAAAATCCTTAGACTAGATGAGTGTCAATGGCAATGATTTTTTTTAAAGGTAATTCAAACACAAATAAAACTATGCTATATAAAAATAATTATTCCTTAATATGGAATAACATTAATTATCACTTAAAGTAGATGGGAGTCAACCAATTTTATAATAGTTATTTTTGTGTATTTGGTAGCAGCTTTATGCATTGAACATACCGTCAGTCTTCAATAGTATTCTCAAGCATTTCATCCTGTTTAGTAATAGATGTCTCAGTGTTTGTAAAAATGGAGTAAGGAAAGGATGCAAAATAAAGATGTTATTAGAATTCAGTTTCCACACCAAGATGATCTATAACATAAATTCATAGAGTCTCCAAATTACCAAAACCTAATAAGCCATTTAATAAGAGAGGAAAGTTTGGGTAATTCTTGCTGTATGGAGGAACTGCGGTTGGAAATGAATTTTGCCTGTTGTCAGGTGAAATTAAAAAAAACCCAAACCCCACAAACCAAAACCAACTTTGCAGAGCTACAAAGCCTCATATGTTAAAGCAGAAATACCAAACTGACCTGAAGAGTGCTGGATGAACTTATGTTACTGCCTTTTAACTGTATCATAGTTGGCAGCTATGACTCTGCTCTGTTTCCAGCAAGCTGTTTAAGTCTGAATTAGTGAAACTGTGAAATAAAGGAAGTAAAGCATACACTCTTGCCTCTAAACATCTCATAAACAACAGAGAGAAAATAGTTATGCTTAACAAATAATAGAGTAGTAAAAATCAGAATGAGAACAACTGTGGAAATACCTGAAAATTGCCCAAGAGGCTCAAGCAGTTGCTGAAAGTGATTGATTGAATCTTCCTGAGCTAAGGTTTTACTATTGGGTGAATTTACTTTGGCCTGAGGGGCCAGAAAGGTTAAGTGCAAGGCACTACTAGAAAAGTAAAAGTAGGAGCAGCAAACAGAATGCTTAGAAGATGTGTTAACCAATGCAATAAGATAAGAAGTACTGGCTGTTTTCAGAGGAAAATAAGCAACTTAACACTGTAAGATCTTGTATTTCACTTCATTTGTAACGCAATAAAAACAGCCTTACCAAG